ACTTTAAACTATATATTGGTTTTATTTTCAACTCTGAACAATCAAATCGATTAATAGATTATGGACCATCACCTGAAAGATGAGACAGCAGCTTCACAATTTCGAAAATTGTGGGGAAAGAAAGCAGAAGTACGAAGGGAAAGAAATTAAGAATTTCTTACCCCATTATAAAATCATTAACTAGATTTCAAGTTATTTTATTGATATCAAAAAACACTCCTGGAACTAAAACAGATTTAAGGATGGTAGTATACTAGAATGTGTGGTTTGGAATGTTAAGGGAATTGAAGAACGCTCTCTTATTGTTAGCAGGATAGTCCAATATCTACTTTATCTTCATTATGGAATAAAGGACTTCAATATTTTGCAGGCAAATTAAATGAAATCGTTATACTATCTTCAAATATTCCAAATTATATTTACAATAAAAGTGAATATACGAATGGATTTCGAAATGTGATGCAAGCGTATGATAAACTAGTGGAAAGATTCATGACATTAGAAAATATTCATTAAAGTTATCAGGTATTCGAGCTACAAGTTCTGCATTAAGATACTCTTCAATCTTTATACCTCAACCACTTGTTCCCACATCTACAAAAAAATCATTTTATGTGGATCTAATTGAAATTGTAATTCAGTTTGAACTTTCTGCAAGATGGCCTAATAACCTTGTGGCCATACAAAAGATGAAAATCGCATTTTTGTTTACAACTAGCGTCACAATTTAAACTTCAATTTCCAGGAACTTTTGCAACAGTAGTAACATACAATAACGATACAATCATTTCAGAGGCATATATCTGATATGGACATATTTACTGATTCAAAATTCGCGTTCAGATGTAGAATATATAACGAACGAGAAATGACATTATTAGATCGTGGAATCAAGGATAAGAAATTTAGTCAACTCAAAAAAGATATATATACAAAAGCTTTAGAAAGAGAGAAACGAATGTTTATCGAAATTCCAATGCATACTTTACAAATTCAGACCCTTTGTAATAAATGGCCAAGTTTATCATTAACCATCTGACTTATTAACCGATGGTTTAATACACATTTGTTGAGTGATCACGTTGAAGAAGAGTGGATTGAATGCTTATCTTCACAAGTTTATTTAGAACCATGTCCTTGGAATAGACTTGGTAATGGATTTGTAGGGTTTCTTCGAGTTTTGAAATTGATAACTTTTTGGAATAATGAATTAATGATTGTGGATTTAAGTGAAGAAAACAAAAGCTCTTTTAAAAACAATACAAGTGAAAATTAAGTTGAAGATATTAAGACAAAATTTAAGAATTTAAGATGATCAAACGGAAGTTGCAAAAACGGATTAATGTTCATAGGAAATAGTAGTAGTGGAAGTATATGTATCATAATTTATAATTATAAATTTATATAGATCGAGAACTATTATTTAAATTTTATCTTTGAATTTCTTTAAAGCGATTTAATATTATAGTTATGAATAATGATGCAAAATTTTTAATAAAATAAAAGCTTTTAAAGTTTTAATTTATATTGTATATTTAACAAATAATGAATTTCTTTAAAGTTTATCTATTTAAATTTTGATTGAGACAGATATAAGGGTATTCGAATACAAAAAATCACTAAGTCGGCCAAGCGGACAAAATTTTCGGCTTAGTCATAGCTGAAAAATAATCGTTAACCAGGATCACTAACATATAGTATTTATTCACATCTAAAGCTTTATTGTGTATATCACTTTTATTTTACTAGTAGAAGTTGTTTTTAGATTAGTTTTTTTTTTTTTTTTATATAAAAGAGTGCTTGACATAAATATTGTTGAGTATATTACAAAATGTCTTCATGAATTATCATATATGACAAACTTTACTT